AACAAAAGGGATAAAAGAAATTATACCGCCCCTTTGAATGGTGTCCAAATGAAAGAAAAATGGCTTCAAAATAATAAAAAAGTCAAGGTACCTCAAATAGTAAAGTATAACAAAGTCACCAAATCTCTCCTAATTGCAATTTAAATGAAATCAAATAATGCATAAGTTTCAGAAAAAGGACCCACCAAGGACCCAATTACCAATTAAAGACCCAATTGCAAACCTTAGTCAACGATTCGAATTCAATCGAAACATTTAAGCACTCCAAAGGTCTCAAGAGCCAAGAAAAGGTCAAACAACCAATTTATTTTAGGGAAATTAAAAAATAGGCAAACACGAGCTCATTCGGTCATGAAACCCCTAAAGTCATGACTTAAGTGCAATTGACAAAACATGGTAGTTAATTGAAACAAAACAAGCCATGAAGTTGCACAAATTAAAATTGCCAAGGACCAAATTGATGAAATTATTTAATTGATTGGGTTCTAGTAGAACAAGGAGAGACTTGGGGGCCAAAGTGCAAATTTTTGAAAGTTCCATGCATGCAAATCACGTAGAAGAAGAATTTCTGCAACAAACAATTTCTGCAATGCCAAACCAGCTGCACTTCTTCATAATTTGTGAACTTCCTTAGGCTTTTAGACCAAAACAAATGCAGTTCGCACAAAATAACAAAACACCACTTGATCTACCCACTTTATAATGCAACAAAACAATCAATCAAACAAAAAGAGCCTGCAAAAATGATGAAGCAAATTTTCTGCTGCAACATTCATCCAGAATTTTTCCTTTTTGCAACTTTAAACTCTCAACTGCAGGTTTCATAGAAAACTTCAAACAAAAGCCACCAAAGACCCTCACTCAATCACCATTTAACAACTAAACACTTTGATTAACACAACACAGCTGAACATGCAACAAAAAAAAAAAAAACAGAAAAACACCCCCAAAAACTCATGCAACTCGGCTGAAGCTATGCTGCGTTTTCTTTTATTGCAACTTTCAGGGTTTCTGATGCAGTTCAAACGCAAGGAACAACTTAGGCAACAAAGGTTTGGACAAGATTACCAAACATTCTTTCCACTTTTTAATCATAAAACTCTTATGTGTAAACACAACAATTCAAGGAAAGAGAGCATGCAAATCTGAAAAATTTTCTCTGCAGCATTCTACAATTTTTCAGCCACGGCATTTCTTTTCATCATGCAAACCAGATTTTTAATTCAAATACAAAGCTTTGATTAGATATTTCTCAAACCAGCATCTTAACTCTAACTAAACAACAAGCTGCTTAACTCAACTCCAAACAAACAAAAACAATGAAAGAGCTAATGCATTACAGAAAATCTGGACAGACATTCATGTAGAATACTTTGGCAATCTGAAATCCACTTTCCAGCTCAAATATTTTAGATGTTTAAACACTCAAACTCAACACCCAACCTTCCATTGATTCCCTCCAACACAAGATCAAACATGAAACTGAAGGGCAAAACTTAACCAGCAACCAAAGGAAAGGAAATGCGGCAGGGAAAAGACCGAAAAAATGCAGCAGCTTTTGCTTGCTGTGTTTTTGAAAGGAGGAACTTTTAAATAACTTGGTGACTTCAGCAATTCATACCATGAGTTTCCAACAAACTTTCAGTTTCAAAATACATCAGAAATGATCTACATTCACACTAAACTCTGACCCAAACAAATCAGGAAAACAAGTCGCAAACTTCTGCATTTTCTAATTACAACATTGCCGCAGCTATGTGTCAACAATTTTGGCCAAATCTGCCCACAATTCAAATGGTTTACTACTGAATGTCATACAAGACTTAAAACAACATTTTTCATGCATTTCCAAGCATTATTTGCTAATGAAAAATTCCAGAAACAACTGCAAATTCTGGTTTCACTCCCTTGGCAAGTCACATAAATTTTCCAGCACTTGGTTGGTCTTAAATCCGAATTTACCTCGGTTGAATCATTGTGTTAAGAGCTTTCTATTTTCATTTCATTTTCTGGTTTGGACATGCTTATAAACTCTTAAATTCCTTATGCACGTATCAAGCTAGCATATGAATATTTCCAGCTCAGAAATCAAGTTCAAATAATATCCATAACCATCAAAATTTCCAGAAATTTTTCTGTTTGGTCCGGATGATCTTGCCTTAAGGCAGATTGCACTTTTGAATTTTTATTCCTCTGTTTTATCAAACTGATTGGCTACATGCAGGGCCTAAGTACTCATTATTAGCTGCATATTTATGATTATAAGCCCAAATTACAAAAATCAAAACCAATTTAAGCTGCACTACTCCAAGCAAGCTCACGGCAAAATTTTCTAGCCAAGACAGAATTTTCCACAGCTTTGTTTTCACTATTTGATTGCGAAATTTAACACATGCAAGACTCTAATCCTGATAATCATCCAAAATCCAGTTAGATAAACATCTTTCATGCTCAGATTGTCCAAATTCAGACCCATTCAGCAGCCAAAATAAAACAAGTGCATCAAGCTCACGGCAGGAGCTTTATATCTAACCAGAATTTCTGCAGGCTTTCACTATGCCATCCGAAGGTACAAATCAACATGCATGGTGGAAATCATCACATTTTCATTTGGCTAAATCCACTTAAGTGCTCAAGTCATCACAGGAATTCAGAAATAGAGTGCATTATCATCTCAGCTTTCGGATGGTACCTCAATATTCAAAACAGAATTTTCTAATGATTCAATTCAACATCCGACTGCTCTAACATCACATGCATGTTACTAGATAACTCAAATTACCTCAGATTTATCCTAAAAATGATCCATAAATTACCTCACAACTAGTCAAGCTTTCACACGAAAATCTGGAAAATGTTTTCCTCCTCTCGGCTCACAAGCACGCGACAGGTTTTCTGTTTTGGGTTGGTGTGGCTGTGGTTGTCGGTGGAGATGGTGGTTGTTGCGGCTGGAAACTTGATTGCAGCTGGTAGAACAGAAGTGCAAAAGGGTGAAGCTCGCTCACAGCTTCTCTCTGTCTTACTTCAACTCACGGACGGAACCAGAAAAATTTTTGCCGCTCGCGGATCCTTTTCTTCCCTCTCGGATGCACGGTTGCCGCTCTCTCTCTCTCGCACTTTCTGTCGATGGTCCCAAGGCAGAGGCTGGAGAGGAAGTGTTTTGGAATGTTGGAGTTGCTCAAAATGGGAAACCAGTCACGAATGAAGGGAAATGGGGTGTGAGTGGAGACTCAGATGTCATCCGGCAGAATTGGAGATGTTTTTGTTTTAAAGTTGGCCCAGGAAGCCTTGCTCACTCACGGCTGAAAAGCCATTGAAAAAAAATATATTGTGGTGGATGGTAGTTGATATACTAGTGTGTGATATAGTGGAGTGCATTAGTGGTTATAAGTCGGCATAGAGATGGAAGGTGCTGGAATGTAAAATGGAAATGGATTCGGCAGAAATAGAATTGTGATTTTTTGATTTTTTGATTTTTTGATTTTTTGAAACAAACAAAATTGATAATAATAAAAAGAAATAACCAAAACAAAATAATTAACATTTGATGAAAAATAAACTAGAACAATAAAGTGCAATTTCCATTTCTTTTCCATTTCCTATTTTCATCGTTTTTCTCTTTTTTTTTCTTTTCTTTTTTTTTTTCAAAATAACTTAACAAAAATAAACAAAATGCCAAAAGATTGAATTTAGAAGACATAAAACATATTTTGTGGGCAATTTTCTTCTTTTTTTCTTTTCTCTCCTCTTTTCTTTTCACTTTCTCATTTTCATTCATTTTCCAAGAGATTCTATGCTAACAGCTTAAAAATAAAAATAAAACTAGAAACTAAAACTAAAAATCGAATAAAACTAAAATGAAAAAATTAAAAATAAACAGCAAATGAAATTACACCAAAATTTGGTGTCTACAGTTTGCCCCTCTTTGTCTGAGTTTTGAAAAAACTTGAGACAAAGAAGTAGACACCAAATACTTACCTGTGTTATTCGGCTGCAATGGACGCTTCTGAAATGAGGATCGACCTCTTTAACATTTTTTTTTTTTTGAAATGGGATTGACCCAAACAGGAAATTAAAACGGGACTGACCCGAGCAGAAATTTAAAATTGGGACTGACTAGAGAAGGAAATTCAAATCATGGGACTGGCCCGAACAAGCTTTAATCGCGGGACTGACCCGAATAAGCTTTGAATCGTGGGACTGACCCGAATTTGAATCGTGGGACTGAATCGTAGGACTGACGAATGAGCTTTTGATCGAGGGACTGACCCGAAAATACTTTTGATCGAGGGACTGACCCGAATGAGCTTTTGATCGAGGGACTGACCCGAAAATGTTTTTGATCGAGGGACTGACCCGAAAATGCTTTTGATCGAGGGACTGACCCGAAAATGTTTTTGATCCCATGTAATTTCTCCCATTGAAACTCTTCGAACACATCTTTAAACTGTGGCACATTTTCAAACCGGGACTTTTCCGTTTCTGTTCTTGTAATTGTACCCACAACGGTGTGTTTCCAACTAATACCACATTATGTGGATTATGACTTTTGTCTACCTTCTCAAGTGCATCGTTTCCCATTTTAGACGTAATTTGCTTACGTTGCTGCGAAGAGTCGCTAGTATCCATCGCCTTCTCTTTCGATGCAGCCTCTGTGAATGTTCCATTAGCTGGTGAATGGCCATCCCCAGACTCCGAATCAGTGAATTCCCCCTCATCAAGTTGGTTCGTAGCTTGGGGCTTTACCGAACGCATCTCTTCGGTTTCCCGAAACACTTGATCAGCCAACTTATGAATGATTTCACCTGCGGTAGAAACAATGGTCTCCTCTACTAACGCAGCGACAGACAACCCAGGCTGCTGGAGTTGGGGCGAGGGGGGCGCCGCTGGAGAGTATCCACCATCCATCACCTGCTGCACCCCAGGCGATGGGACAGTCCCTGCCGATGTATGCTCAACCCGCAACTCGCCCTCTTCCTGCGCGCTTTCCAGAGCTTCCTCTAAGGCATTGCCCCAGGTCGCTGCACCTCCGGAGTCAGAGTAGGAGCCCCAGGCCTCTCCGTGGGAGTCACCGCATCTCCCATAGTTATCTTGTCCGACTCCTCACTGCCGTTTGTCTCCTCGATAGCTACTGTCGTACCCTCCTTGTTGCTCGTAGCAGTGGGTTTCAGCCCATGAGTTCCGGCACCCTTCGCTGGTTTGAGCGCAGGGTTCTTCCTAAAGCATTCCGCTTCCGCGTGGCCGGCGCGCTGGCAAAAGGAACAGAATGCAGGCCAGCTCTCGTAGTCGACCTGCTGCCAGTGCCCATAGGTGTCGTCTCCTATCCATATACGCTTGACAGGTTCCATCGCCAAATCTACTTCAACCAGAACCCGAGCCACCGACGGCCGCTTGAAGGAGGAAGTCGCGGAATCTGCTTGCAAGGGGCGACCCAACAGCGACCCCAGTTTCATCAGGTACTTCATAGTGAAGAGTGGTAAGAGAAGGCCCGGGAAGCAGACCCATACAGGTGCTATGGAGGAGTCCTTGTTGGACTTGAAATCTAGCGTCCATTTAGAAACAGTCATTGGAGCGTTGTGAATGAACCAGGTCCGCCGCACAAAGAGCCGTGTGTAGTCCTCCTCTGTTGAAGGTTGAATCAGCACGTGGTTCGCATCCAGTAATCCCACCGAGCACTCCCCCTTCAGACCAAGGGTCACAAAGAACTTCCTAATCACCTCCATGGATGGGCGGCGCAGGGCAAAACGCCCCACCAGTGCGTTCTTGAAAGGCTCCGCCAGCAACGACAGTTCGCTTCTGGACAGGAGCAGCGCCGGCTCGCCGCGGTATGCACCCAGCCCACCTAGGTCTGGGCCCGTCAACGCGCTGCATGGGTTCCCCACCACTGCGGCAAAGGATTTTGCCGGCACGGTGCCCGTGCTGGCACCAATGTTCAGCGGCCAAGCGGCCGCCATGGCAGACTACCCTAGAAACTTTCGGAAAGTGTTCTGGACCCTAGAAACTTATATAGAGTAATCGACTATTTCGTGAATTGCCATTTGATTTTTAGTTGCCTATTTTATTTGATTTTTAATTGTTTTCTTGTTTTAATTGTTTTAGACCTTTAATTATTGTTACTCTAAGTTGAGTGAATTGTCATTTAATTTCTAGTTAGTTATTTATTTTTATTTTCTTATTTGAATTTCTTTGATTGTCGTCGTTCATACAAAATCACCCCCTGTGTTACTTTGAATTTCTTAAGAGACAAATATCCCCAATCCCTGAGAATACGACCCTACTTGCACTGTCTACAAATTCATAATTATTTGTGAAAAAAGTCATCCCATTCGGGTATATCGGATCAAGCAAACTCTTCGGGAATCGGGTGAATCAAGTAACCCATTGCACACCTAGAGTCCCTGCTTCAATACTTGGAATTGAGTTTTGGTTACTTTAACTGGTAATTAGATTTAATTTTATTATTGTATAGATTTCGACAACCTGTCAATTATAACTAACACTACAACTTTGTGTAGTAAGTTGAAATGATAAAGAATTGCTTAACCATCATCTTCTGATTGCTACCTATTTTTAATAAAAAAATCCTCAAATTTTGCCTTGATTTCTACTTTTTTTCTCCTTTTATTTCATGAATGCAAATGATGAAATAAGTTCAACCAAAACCACTGAAACTTATTCTTTTATGAAGTCTTGTCTGGAGGTTTATTTTTCCTCTCATTTTTCTTGCTTCTACTTCTCTTCTATGTAGAAAATATATGATTTTCATTATTCTCTCAAGTGTTGTCAATCACAAAATGACACCATATTGGAGCATCAATTGGCGCCATTTTGTAAGTGCACTTACAGTGCCTAATAAAGCAAAAAATAACCGTTAATCTTGTTTAATTAACTATTTTAGGCTTGTTTATTGCCCTAATTTTTTTGCCCCAAAACTTGTTTACTAATAACCTTAAACTCTTAAAGTATAGAAGTAAATTCATCCTATCTTATGTCAGCTATAGGTCCCAAATTCATGTTAGGAAAGGTTAGTGCTATTTTTCAAATCTTAGGAGAAGTGAGTGCAACTGTCAGAAACCTCCCCTGAGGTTTCTGCAATTATCGCTTCTTTAAATTGTCATTTTTCTATTTTTGAGAGTTGTGTCTTTCTTTGCCTTCTACCCAAGTATTAATTGTTGAGAATCTCTTGTAGTGGTATCTACCAATTGATTGTAACTGCTTCTTGTTAATTCTCCCATGTTCTACTACTGTTAGTTTTCCATTTGTCAAAAATCCTGCACCAATTTGTTCATTAACCTTTAGAAAGTACCATCAGAGATCCTTTAATCGATGGACTTGGTTCAACATGTGAACCATCTTTTGAGAGATGAACACTTGGTGATTGAGATGATTTTTTCTTCTAACATGCATTCCAAATTAGACACTTTGACAATGTCCCACTGACTCTGACATTTCTATTCATCTCAATTTTTGCAGCTGGGAAACTAAACTGAATTCATTGCTGAACATGCCGTTGTTGAAAGAAAAATAACAAAGTTGATTGAAAATTAAAAAGAGCTATGGATTGAAAACGTAAGAGAACTGATTGAAAATGGACCCACATCTAACTCATCAAATATTGCTACATATCGTGCCTTGATTGAATCAAGGACTTAAAATTATTGCACAGAAATAACTGATAAACCAATTGAAAAGTTCTTGGAGTTGAACTTGTCATTGAATTTGAGAAAAAAAAATAAACTAGGCTGATTGTTAGGGTAAAACAGCTCAAGAGAGCCCACCAAAAAATCCAATATGTAAGTTAGGAATCCAATCTGACCTAAAAGTTTAAACTATTAGGTCTCGAACTCTTACTTATATATTAACCACTCTTTCTTCATCTCTCGAACTAGTGTGGGACATAATCTTTTTACTCATGAACCTAATAAATCTCCCCCTTCATGAGTAACCTCTCACATTAAATCCAAATTTACAAACTCTTTTTCAAACCCTCTTTATTTCTCAATGCAAACCCATCTTATAACCTAAGATTACCTCTTCTCCCAATCATGGCTTACTCTTCTTCAACATCTAAACTATATTTTGGACTGATAGAGCAATTAATGGGCACTTTTTGCACTGTTATTCTATCATAAGTTTGGCTATTTACTGTGCTAAGTATTGAGATTTTACTCATATTTCATATTTGTGTAAATTGTAGGTGGTTGGCGTTAAAAGTGATCCCCTGAGGCAAATTTTTAGAAGATCCATTGTTTCATGGCGTACCCACGCCAGAAACTGAGAAGTACACCTAAAAGACGGACCCGCGGGATTGGTAAAACAAGTGAAACATCAGGAAACCAAAAGTGAGGCACGTGGGCCGTGGAGATGCAGAGGATCAAAACCCTTTTCAAAGAGGAAGTAAAGCGCGGAGTCTTCTTCCTTTCTTTTCAGCGGCAAATAGAAACAAGAAAGCCAGATTCACGCGATATCAATAGATTAGCTTTAGTTTTAATTATTGGATCAGACGTTTCTTTTTCTTTTGGGCGGCGAACAAGGGAAAAGCCAAAATCACAATGGTTTAAGAGATCAGCCTTTGTCTCTTCCTATTAGACAATTCTTTACTCGCAGCTTGGCTCTTGTTTTTTGCAGCCGGCTTTCTCTAGTGCTTTTCTTTTACTTTTTTTGCTAATCAAGACCTTTTGTTTGTTTTCTTCGTTGCTTCATCTTTCCAAATTCTTTGGCAATTGTGTGGATGGAATTAATTAGATCACGCGAGATTGATACGATGAGGAACGGCTAGATTTCCTCTCTACCCAAAGGTCGACGTGAGGGCGCAATCCATAGCCTCTGTGAGATCTAATCAAACATTCATTATTTTTTCCAATTCATTACTATTCGTGCGTTTCCTGGATTAATTGTTCATGGGTATTTTATTAATTGAGTATCAACGGTCGGATATTTAATTTAATATAATAGCCTACTGCCACGTTAACTGAATTAAATCTGTAATTGTTCGTTTAGTTGACACCTAGTGACAACTATCATAATTGAATTTATGTTGGGGAAACGTAAGATCTAATTTAAATAAACTCTCTTAGCATGTTTATTGGTTAGGGTTGGGTCCTTCTAGTTTTAATGTAACTGGATAATTAAATTCCTACGGTCGTACCTAGGGTTATTTTCTGATTAGAGAAACAGTCAATGGTCGTACCTTGACTGTCGAAAAAGTAAGAAAGAATTGGTTGTTAGAGTTTGTTGATAGTTATAACCAATTTAGTGACGGATGAATGAAATATCTTTGCATCGATGATCATTTAATTGGACCGTACCTGAAAAGTTGATCCTTTGAGTAGATTTTATTAATTACTATTTTTAGTAAATTGTACTTGTTGAGTTAGTTTTGGATTTTGTTTATTTTATTTTCATCTTCATTCCCTTAAATATCCCCCAATTTTGTTCTTTTGATTTGGAAAGAAACAACTGCCTATCCGTTCCCTGTGGAATCGACCCTACTTGTCATTGTATGCAAATTTAATATTTTTATAGATAATTCTGGTATATCGGATCAAGCAAACTCTTCAGGAACATGATGAATCAAGTAACCCATTGCACACCTAGAGTCTCTACTCCAGTACTTGAATTTGTTCTATAATTAATTACGGTGGTAATTAGGATTTTTTAGTAATTATTATTGCACAGGCTTGACACCTGTCAATTTTTGGCACCGTTGCCGGAGAACAGTGTTTTAGTTAATTTTGTTTCTTTCTACGTTATTTTTCTTTGGATTTGTCTGACATTTTTCTAGTTTATGCCTCGTTCTTCTCATACAGGTGAATTGATTTTTGACCCAGAAGTAGAGAAGACTGCGCGCCAAACTAGGAAAGAAACTAGATAATTCAGAGAGGAGCAATCTAGCACTGCATCTTAGAGATTGGATCCAAAGATTGAATCACCAGATTCAAGTGGTGATAATTCAAGTGACTCAGGTCAAGAGGACATCCTAATGGCTAATGGCAAATGCAAGAACATTAAGGGAGCTGGCTGCTCCAGAATTACCTCAGCAACCGTTGTGCATTGCATTTCCAAGTCTAGCTGAGAATACCTCCTTCGAACTAAAGTCAGGGTTAATTCACCTCTTACCCACGTTCCATGGCCTCTTGGGTGAGGAACTCCACAAATACATTCAGAAGTTCGATGTGGTATGCTCCAGTATGAAGCCTCCAAGAATTACTGAGGAGCAGATCAAATTTAGAGTCTTCCCTTTCTCCCTCAAGGATGCAGCAAAGGATTGGTTGTACTACCTACCTGCAAGTAGTATCACAACATGAGCCCAACTGAAAAAGAAGTTTTTGGAAAAATTCTTCCCTGCATTCCGGGCTGCAAGTCTGAGAAAAAAAATATGCAGTATTAAGTAGTATCTCGAAAAATCCCTATATGACTATTGGTAGAGATTCAATAAGTTGTGCACTAGATGCCCACAGTATCAAATTAGTGAACAACTGTTGATTCAATATTTCTATGAGGGACTTCAGTCATCTGACAGAAGCATTATTGAAGCTGCGAGTGGAGGAACATTGGCGAACAAAACACCGAGAGAAGCATGGTTGCTTATTGAAGCTATGGCAGAGAACTCTCAACAGTTTGGTTTCCGTGAGAGTAACCCTACCCGTAGGGTTAACGAGGTAGAGACGTCGTCCATTCAGCAGCAGCTATCGGAGCTAACATCTTTTGTTCGATAATTAGTTGTAGGGAACGTGCACCAAGCAAAGGTCTATGAAATCTGCACAAACGTGGGCCACCCCACTGACTCATGCCCCATGTTGCAAGAGGATAGGGTTGAACAAGTAAACATGGCCGGAGGCGTGCCCGCTCCTCGTAGGCAGTACGATCCATACTCCAACACGTACAATCCGGGTTGGAGAGATCACCTCAACTTCGACTATAGAAATAGGCCACATAATTCATTTTCAAATCG